ATAGATGGGTTCCATTGTGATGCACCCCGGGGCCAGATGTTGTGATGTACAGCTAGCGCTCCGCTGTGTTTGCCCGTTGTCCCGCGTGTTGTTCGGCACGGTGTCCTGAGAGACGCAATGCGTGGCAGTAAACGTCAGACACTATGCCAAATAACGCACGGTAAAAAAACTAAAGCACGTCAGAGAACAACCGTGAAAACCTACGCAGTATTACATGTTGCATGTGTGGATTTATTTGTACCGAGTAATGGCAGTTTTACGTGCGAATTTAGTCAAACATGTCGGCCAGCTAAATCCACTTAAAGCAATTTGTTTTATTTCGAGGTACGTCTTATTTTGAGCTCCATCGGAAGGGGGCAATTATTTTCTAACTATTATTTGGCCGAGTTAAAAAAATATTTTGGCTAATTTTGACGTGATGTCCAGAAAGCACTTGGCAAGTATTGTAAATACGATTATGCAAAAAAAAGTTACGCTTGGCGGGACACGTACGGGGAGGGCCATTTACCGTCGCCGGCATCGGAGTGGACTCCACAAGTCTGGCGACCAATAACAAAATACATTTTTATTCATAAGGCACCCTTCAAAACAATGGATCTCAGTGCGCCCTGCATATAAATGCATAAAATAAGCGACAAATAACTGGCTAGGGAGATAGATGCTAAAGAGACAAGAAGGGGGATACTATGCATAGCAAAAATGAGCAAGAAGAAGACCTAAGAGCAGATGGTGGGATACTGCGAGAGCAGATCTGAGAGGGTGGACGTCTCCTGTACATTAGCTGTGGGATCTGGTGGAGGGCAGAGAGCGTTGATGAGGTGTGGTGGCATCAACAGCTTTGGCCGTGGTGACATCTCGATCTTGAATTTTATTCGTGACATTGCCTCGAGCAAATAATGTCGCATTGTCTCTGCTCTTACACATTTACTTCACGAAACAAGTCTTCTTAAACATTACTAAGAGTTCGTCAACGCAGTGAGGATTGGCTCCGAGGAACTTCCGAGAGGATGTCTATCGCAGCGATGAAGTCAGCTTGTATAGAGGTGCTATGTTGGTGATGGCCTGGGGAGGCCTTCATCCAGCAGCTGATTGATCATGGCTGATGATGATGGCCAAACCGCTCAGCCAATATTCCAGATCGGCTCGTCTGGCAAAGTTGGCGGAGAGGTTTGTCTAGTGGAACTTTGCATATTCGACGGTATCTGCCCTGACCCATTAACCGCCCACACAGAGTGCAGTCGTATTTGTGCAAGGTGATGGCGTTTTCTGTAGATGTTCACACGTACGACTTCGGAGATATTTGCCAATATACATCGGTCCCCAGAAACTCAAATATGCAACATTTTAAGGTATTTTATGTCAGTTTAGTACAAAGATGGCAAAGTTATGTGCTGTGTTCGGCCAAAGCCCCCCCACTGTTAAATTCACAGTTGTATTCGTCATCGTCAGCTCACATGCAGGCTCTTATACTCTACAGTGTAGCTTACATATTTCAGATTGCTCGATTTTTTTTTGTTAACAATCATTCGAAGTTGTGAGACTCAAACGGTTGAGAAACAAACGCACATCGACCGAGCTAACTACGCTGAGAACGGATTCAATATAATGCTCGCGAGTGTTAACCATGTCTAGACGATATTGAAAACAAATAATTATGTTCATGTTTTTTATCGTAATATTTGTACTGTTTGTTCAAGTCCAGTGTTTTCATGAATGAAGCAATACAATTTAAGAGTGTCGTACAATTATCCAGGCACGCTTTGCCCTGCGAACAATTGTAACGCTGAGAATATCCGTCAGCAGGGCTCTCGGTGTATCTCTGTTCCTGCGCAATGTGCCCGGCACTCGTCCGTGCACAAGCGTAAGTGTGCGGATATTCCACTTAGGAGATTAATAACTTAAAATCGTAAGTCGAGGTGTTAATCTGGCGCGCTCTCAGACCTGCTGCTCTCCGTCACGGCCACTGCTGCCTGCGCGCATTTTCACAATCCACTCACCCACGGGTCACCGGGAAAAGTCCAACCGTTTCGTTATTTTAGCCGCAGTGCATGGGAGCCAGCTGAAGCCACTTACACAAATTATGGATCAAAGTCTAAGAATGAAATGGCAATGCAGCCAATAAGTCGATCCATCAATCCGCCTCCGCGAGCTGCTGCCATGTCTCGCAATCCTGCCATGTGCTAATCCACGGTGAAATATGGTCAAGCAATCCCTATGATCAACAACACGGCTTGGGTTTGTTTTCATCCAGCAGTGGATTGACACCTCCGATTAGCACGGTTGGCTACGTATGCTGCAAAATAAGTTCAACATACATACTACAACCGACTTTAAAACACACACACACATTTTCAAGTTGTGTGTGGGGGCATGGAAGGCACAATCTTAGCGACTGAATTTAACTGAAGTTTATTTGTCTTTTTAGGTGCTGGAGAATCTGGAAAAAGTACCATCGTAAAGCAAATGAAGTAAGTAGAATGATTAGTCTGATGGATGATTGCTATGTGGCTATATAAATTAATTATATTAAACAAAGTTAAACATTAATTCCTTGATATACTTAAGTATTACTGTTGAGGGAAAGAATATTTTATATAGTTATGTTTTGTGAAGACCTAGAATTAATGATCACTGTCATAACAGGGTAATAAACTGTAATGCCAGTGCTGTTACTGTACCTGAATTGCTGCCGCAGTAGCGACCTCGTGTCCTTGAGACCAACTCCTGGGTCTTGGGGCCAGCTCCTCCTGGACCTGCCCTCAGCTCTCCTCCTTGGCCTTGGGGTTGTGGCCTAGGTCCCAGGACTGGGCTTAGAGGTTTCCGGCCTTGACCCTGATCTCAGATGAGGGGACCCAACCTTGACCCTGGCCTCAGCCTAGAGGACACAGCCTTGACCCTGGCGTCAGCCTAGACGACCCGGCCCTGCCCCTGGCGTCAGCCTTGAAAGCCCGGCCTTGACCATGGTCTCAGCCTAGAGGAACAACCTTTGACATTGGCCTTCTCCTAAATGACTCTGGGCCCTGGCCTCGATACTCTCGTGGCTTTTGGCTTTCGATCTCAGCCGGTGTCCCTGTGGGATTCCCGTCCTCTTATCCAAGGTTGGCTGGCGTACAGGCAATGGCTCAAGAGAATACTCCATGGCAAGGCTCTTGAATTCCCAGTTGTGGAGTACAGGTTACCAGAAGCCCAAAATGTCAAACGATAAGTACCAAATAGTTTTGCATGACAGGAAACAGTCTATAACAGGTTTTTGGGTTAGATCGCACAATTATTTATTGGTTGTGAAAGCCTAAGTATTAAAAGGAAACAGTCTGATAGACCGAGTCCTTAACATGGATGGAAGGAATCAATGCAGTTCATGGGAACAGCAGCCACGATAGTAGCAATATGAGCGAGTGACTTGGAGTGAAATCAGTGGGGTGCTGGATCATCGATCAAGCTGGCTGTCTTATATAAAATTCTGTCGAGTACAGAGAGGTAGGAACAGGGAACCCGCCACAAGATATGACAGCAGTAGCCAACTTTGGGAGGTTCTGCGGCTGTGTACAGCAGCGGTAATTATAATCACTGTTCAGAGTTTAAAAGACGCTTTGGCTTTGAAAAGGAAACCAGGCTTCTTCGATGCCTCCTTAGCCAGACCACTTATATCGCTATTCCGTGGCAGGTCAGATGAGATTACTGTGCCAAGCAAATTCATGGTTTTACTATAGATAATAATAAAATTGTTAAATACTCTGAAAAGTTGTGGCCTTACGGGGCCCCCATCTCCTAGGTCCTACAGAGGGGCTTATGGGCCTTCGGGCATTCAATTCTAACCTATGAAGCCTAACCTAAAGTACTATGTGCCACAGTTAACCCTAAACTTACTCAAAGTAACACGAATGAATCGTAAAATCCGCAGTGTTCGAAGTCTGGAATAGACGAAAATCTATTTGAACGACCAACCATTATCCGTGTTATGTGCCACCTTTGTCCCGATATTGAAGCCTTCCAAGCCAGAATCTCGACGTCTTTGCTGGATCTAACGCCACGGGTGTGCCACAGGTGTGCCACGGGCAGTGCCGGATTATCCTACTAGCAAAAGTAGCTACATATGCTACGGGCCCCGCGCTAAATGCTTTCAAGCTATCAACTCCGGTTCAGTGGTTCTGCACTTACTCTATTACTATAGTACTATACCGCCTTCAACTTATGAACGACCGCGTGTTTAAGGTTAGCGATTTGTCGTATTATCTGTCTGTATGGCAAATAGAAAAAAATACAATTACTTTACTATGCAAGTAAAAAATGTGTGTTTTAATATTTACGTTTTTTTAAATTTAAGGCCCCTTTATAAGATCATATGCTCCGGGCCCCGCACTCGCTTCACCCGGCACTGGCCACGGGTGTTAATAGTGGCGGCGACTCGAGGCGCCAGGAGGGGAGATGGGGAGAGGGCCTCATTGTCCACGGTGACTCCTCGCCCTTGGCTCGTGTTGGCGAGAACCCCAAATGCTGGATGGTTACGTTCCTGGACACGGGCTAGAAACCCAATATTGTCATTTCACACAAAAAAGGCTAGAAATATGGTAAAATAAGTATATAGTACGTGTTCACACTTCGTAATGCTATAACGTGCTAGAAAAACAGTTCCCTAGTGCTATAAACTCATAAGCCAATCGTGTAAAGTGTACAGAACTGCACTGAACGCTCTTCGTACCAAAATGTACACGAAGCAATTTTTCAAAATAGATGTTTCACGTAATTTTTTTGCTTACCTTTTGTTCCGCTGCTAAAGTGGCTTGACCTTTTAAAATAAAACATTGCACTCGCTGCCTTTCTACTCCCCTTTTGAGCCAAAACGTCGCCGTTCTGACGCATTCCGAGCCATAAACGGAGCCTTATCTTGTTTTAACATAAAATGTTTTTTTTATTCCACATCCTCCCTCACCTCGTACATCGCAACATCGTGACATTCTGCACGGCATTGCCACGGGGCATCGAGAGCGTCAGGCACACCGGACTCGTCAGAGCAGGCGGGGTTGGGGTGGCCTGATCTTAAACGGCCGTCAATGCGTGTCGCAAATCGGACTGTCTTACGAAATGTATTATGTTTCCATACCTTACCAGTCACGTGCGGTGAGGTCAGTGGCTGGGGAGGCACTGGCTTGTGTGAGAGCCAGAGTCACACACTGAGGGGGGCGTGGCCTCACCGAGGGGCGTGGCCTCACTGAGGGGGCGTGTTAGACACGTCCCCCTCAGTGAGGCAGATGTGATAGCTGCCTCCCCTGGTGCTTTTTAATTGCAGTTTCATGACGAGACCAGCGAGCCTAACTATCTTCATACATTTCGATTTAAAGCTTTCGTGACTGCAGGGATTCATCTTCTTGGTTCTTTCGGTAAAGTCACGTAGAAGGGAAGTAATAAAATAATAAAAATAAAACATAATAAAATAAAATATTTCTCACGACGTTTCGGCTACAACGCAAGCAGCCGTCTTCAGGTGAAGAATGAGACACTACCAAACTAGGAGCTTATATATAAGCTGCGTTGGGGGTGGAAGAGCGCCTTAACAAAAATAATGTGCATATGAAGAGGAATTTAGCATATTCATGGAAAATGCGTAGGCGTTGGGCGGGGGGGTTTCAAAGTCATATTATGCCCATGCATTATGCAGGATCAGCAGCACCAAGGGGGGGTGCAGGGATTAGCAGTAACAAAGGAAAGGAATGTTAATGATATGTAGCTGCAGTTACTCAACAACCACGTAGAAAACTAAAGTATAAACTACATAAAAAACTAAAGTATAAACTGCATAGCACCATCAGTATACTTACTATACTCTACAATAAGCTGAGTTACTAACAGCAAGTAATACATTACAATTCTACGTCGTAAAAATTCTATAATATGCTTCCATCTAAACTTTATTCTCTTACATCACACGAGCATATACCGTACTATATACTGCCATAGATGTGTAGAATAATACATAGTATTATATTAAAATGTATAAGGTATAGGTTGGTTTACAGCAATACAGTATATAATTTAATGTTGGGTTTATCTATGGCAGTATATAGTACGGTATATGCTCGTGTGATGTAAGAGAATAAAGTTTAGATGGAAGCATATTATAGAAATTTTACGACGTAGAATTGTAATGTATTACTTGCTGTTAGTAACTCAGCTTATTGTAGAGTATAGTAAGTATACTGATGGTGCTATGCAGTTTATACTTTAGTTTTTTATGTAGTTTATACTTTAGTTTTCTACGTGGTTGTTGAGTAACTGCAGCTACATATCATTAACATTCCTTTCCTTTGTTACTGCTAATCTCTGCACCCCCCCTTGGTGCTGCTGATCCTGCATAATGCATGGGCATAATATGACTTTGAAACCCCCCCGCCCAACGCCTACGCATTTTCCATGAATATGCTAAATTCCTCTTCATATGCACATTATTTTTGTTAAGGCGCTCTTCCACCCCCAACGCAGCTTATATATAAGCTCCTAGTTTGGTAGTGTCTCATTCTTCACCTGAAGACGGCTGCTTGCGTTGTAGCCGAAACGTCGTGAGAAATATTTTATTTTATTGTTTTATTTTTATTATTTTATTACTTCCCTTCTACGTGACTTTACCGAAAGAACCAAGAAGATATCTTCATACACATTCGTGAAATAAGTTACCTGTAATATGGAAGGCGAGGACATGAAATGAAGGGGTCTACAAACATTACATTGGTGACATACTTAGATAGTAACAGGCACGCGCTTATTGCCCGCGCTCCATCCAGTTACTGAGGGGTTGCGCAATCAGAGGAGAGGCTGAGCCCGTCGCTGCCTCACCTCTCGTCTTTTCCTGTATTTGCAGCGGAGCTCCGCAAATTTGGCGATTTTGACTCAAAAAATGATTGTAATCGTACAGAAATGACATTTATAACACAGATCAGCGGAAAAATCTTTATATTTATTTGATTCTTCTTCTTTTTTACTTTTAGTAACAGCTATTTTCATCGGAGTATGACAGGCGAGGCTCTGACTCCCCTGCCTCCCCTGACCGCACGTCCCTGCTTATCAGTGCCCTACCTTATTACAGAACAATTCAAACCTTATTGGTCACCCCGTGCCCCGTATACATCTCAACGTTTATCCCACAAAGTTCCCATCACTACAAGGGAGAAACACAGACTTGTTTTTGTTGTTGCTCGTATTGAAACGGCTTGTACGCCGTATGGACCACAAACACCAAATTCCCCTGCACAAGAGACGAGTAAATCGTGCGGGTTGACATGGTATGTGTTTCCCAAATTTATAAGTCAAAATCTTTTTTACTGACATTTAAAAGTACTTAAAAGTCACGATTTAGTTCAATATGAATGTGTCACAAATGTTGTGAAAATAACATTTTCCGGACAGGCAAACGGAGGAACAAAGCGAGACGTGCCCCATGAGAGTGTTGTGTGTCAGAGATGATGACCTTGATGAACTCAGCAATCGACAGAACTTGTTCCGTAAAAGGATGGCGAATATGCACATTTTATCATTTGGTGTTCAAGTTTTATACATTTGAATATTTTATTATCTTCATTAATTTAAAAGTTATCAGTTTTATTGTTTAATTGTTACATTTATTTGAATGTTACTTGAGTCTTTTTATATATTTTTTGCAATTAATGTTTCCACTCCTGTGTCTATTGACGCCATCACTCCCTCTCTTCCCCCCCGTCTCGTGACGTCACCCCTTCTCACCAACTCACCGCAACTTCGAGTGGCGTCATCACCCCTCTGCTCCAACTCACCAGTGTTGTGTGACGTCCTTCACGTCTCATGACATCATCAACCACTTCTCCACATCGCCCCAATCTTGCGTGACGTCATCAAGCCTCTCCTCCACCTCGTGTCTCGATACGTCATCACACCCTTCCCTCACTTCCCCAGTATCTCCTGACGTCATCACGCCTCTCTCCCTCCCTCCCTCCCCAGTGTGACGTGACGTCATCACCCTTTAGCGCCACCTCACCACCCTAGGTATCGTGACGTCATCACCCCCCTCATCACCCGCTGCGTTAGACGAACAATCGTTTAATTTTGATTTAAAGCTTTCGTGACTGCAGGGATTCATCTTCATGGTTCTTTCGGTAAAGTCACGTAGAAGGGAAGTAATAAAATAATAAAAATAAAACATAATAAAATCAAATAATTCTCACGACGTTTCGGCCACAACGCAAGCAGCCGTCTTCAGGTGAAGAGACACTGCCAAGCTAGGAGCTTATATATAAGCTGCGTTGGAGGTTGAAGAAGAAGAGAGTCTTAATAAAAGAATGCCAGTGAACTCAAACACGTACGCCAAGCTCTTAAGGCTAATGGTTACTCCGACTACACAATCCGCAAGGCCATCACTCCAACCATCAAGAAGGATCCTGTTGAGGAGCCTTTCAAGACCATCACCTTACCCTACATTGCTGGGGTCACAAAAAAGATCTCCAAAATCCTGATTAAACACAAGATTCAGGTACGATTCAACACAGTACATAAAATCCGTGATCTGGTCCCGTCTGTAAAAGACGTGGTTCCAGACATACAGTACCCTGGCGTCTACAAACTAAGTTGCCTCTGTGGTAGCAGTTACATTGGAGAAACCAAACGACATGTCTCGGACCGCATCCGTGAACATAAGGCAGACCTGAAACACGGTAGGACAAACACCTCAGCCGTGGCAGATCACTGTTACAATTCAGTGGGCTCACATGACATTGACTTCTCCAAGACAGAGGTTCTCTGCAAGCCATCTGGCTACCATGGAGATTCGTTCATGAGGCGATCCACATATACAAACACAGAGACAATTTCAACCGAGAAGATGGATTCTGGCTCAGCAATCATTGGAAGAACGTAATAAACCATTTCGGATCTTAACTGATTGTTGTTCACGTTTACGGTGACTTTCAGACCGCAGTCCACTCACTGGCATTAACTGTGTATCTTGTGTTCTCCACAGGGAATGCATTATTTGCTCCGCTGCGGATCTCCTGCCACCGTTTTCCCATTCACATGTTTCATTGCTTCTACGTACTTTTAACATGCCCTCCCTTTGTTAATGCTACCCCCCTCCCTTTGGTGCTGCTGATCCTGCATAATGCATGGGCATAATATGACTTTGAAACCCCCCCGCCCACCTCCTACACATTTCCCATGAATATGCTAAATTCCTCTTGATATGCACATTCTTTTATTAAGGCTCTCTTCTTCTTCAACCTCCAACTCAGCTTATATATAAGCTCCTAGCTTGGCAGTGTCTCATTCTTCACCTGAAGACGGCTGCTTGCGTTGTAGCCGAAACGTCGTGAGAATTATTTGATTTTATTATGTTTTATTTTTATTATTTTATTACTTCCCTTCTACGTGACTTTACCGAAAGAACCAATAAGATGAATCGTTTAATTATTACATAAAGATTGATGAAAGATGATTGATTATGATGGAACTACCTGTGGTATTGCTAACATTACACGTGATAATAATTGGTATTGCTTTTTGGTTGAAGTTGACACCATTTTTTGTAATCACCCCACAATCAAGAATTGCATTCAAGTTCGTGGTGATTAAAATAGTGAAGCAATCTGCACCTTGAGCAGCTGAATGTCGATTATTCTCAGCTCGTGATTCAAACGAGGATGATGCATGGTGTGTACTGTCGTCTGCATAAGAGCGGATCGCATTGTGAGTGGAAGAATATTCATTTATGACAAGAATAAGTAATGTCGGAGAGGCAATAAATTTTCGCGCAACGCCGCAGTTAATTGTGAAGGTATCAGCCCGGCTCTGTCTTCAACTACTGCAAATTCAGACCTCTTGGGAATGTAACATCCCTGGTTGCAGATGAGAGGTGGATACCAACATCATGGTGGATTGTCACGTAGGGCACAGTGTAAAATGCAATGAAGTGCTTTGACAATCTTCTTGGTTCTTTCGGTAAAGGCACGTGACTTTACCGAAAGAACCAAGAAGATGAATCCCTGCAGTCACGAATGCTTTGACAATGTCAGGAGGGACCCCGGGGAAGGGGACTCACTCGGGGGCTTCGCCAGGAGGGATGAGTTGGTGTGCGCCGTCTCGGCGTGCCCTCCCACGCCGCACTCGCTCAGAGCCAGAGCGCGAACATCACCGTTGTTCATTCTTCTGTCGTTTCAAAAATAAACATCACACGCGCACACAAACACGCGTGCGTGCAGGATCATCCACAAGAATGGCTACTCAGAAGCGGAGTGCTTGGAATTCCGGGCCATCATCTACAGCAACACGCTGCAGTCCATCCTCGCCATCGTCCGAGCCATGGAAACGTTCAGCATCGACTACGGGGATACTGAAAGAGCTGTAACGCCTCCAGCCCGCTACCCAGCTACACTCAGCCAGCTGCCCGCTTTAGCTGCCCACGAATAGAGCTGTAACGCCTCCAGCCCGCTACCCCGCTACACTCAGCCAGCTGCCCGCTTCAGCTGCCCACTAACAGAGCTGTAACGCCTCCAGCCCGCTACACCGCTATACTCAGCCAGCTGCCCGCTTCAGCTGCCCACTAACAGAGATGTAACACCTCCAGCCAGCTACACTCAGCCAGCTGCCCGCTTCAGATGCCCACTAACAGAGCTGTAACACCTCTAGCCAGCTACACTCAGCAAGCTGCCCGCTTCAGCTGCCCACTAACAGAGCTGTAACACCTCTAGCCAGCTACACTCAGCAAGCTGCCCACTAACAGAGCTGTGACACCTCCAGCTAGTTACACTCAGCCAGCTGCCCGCTTCAGCTGCCCACTAATAGAGCTGTGACACCTCCAGCCAGCTACACTCAGCCAGCTGCCCGCTTCAGCTGCCCACTAACAGAGCTGTGACACCTCCAGCCAGTTACACTCAGCCAGCTGCCCGCTTCAGCTGCCCACTAACAGAGCTGTAACACCTCTAGCCAGCTACACTCAGCCAGCTGCCCGCTTCAGCTGCCCACTAACAGAGCTGTAACCCCTCCAGCCAGCTACACTCAGCAAGCTGCCCGCTTTAGCTGCCCACTAACAGAACTGTAACGGCTCCAGCCAGCTACACTCAGCCAGCTGCCCGCTTCAGCTGCCCACTAACAGAGCTGTAACACCTCTAGCCAGCTACACTCAGCAAGCTGCCCGCTTCAGCTGCCCACTAACAGAGCTGTGACACCTCCAGCCAGTTACACTCAGCCAGCTGCCCGCTTTAGCTGCCCACTAACAGAGCTGTGACACCTCCAGCCAGTTACACTCAGCCAGCTGCCCGCTTCAGCTGCCTACTAACAGAGCTGTGACACCTCCAGCCAGTTACACTCAGCCAGCTGCCCGCTTCAGCTGCCCACTAACAGAGCTGTAACACCTCTAGCCAGCTACACTCAGCCAGCTGCCCGCTTCAGCTGCCCACTAACAGAGCTGTGACACCTCTAGCCAGCTACACTCAGCCAGCTACCCGCTTCAGCTGCCCACTAACAGAGCTGTGACACCTCTAGCCAGCTACACTCAGCCAACTGCCCACTTCAGCTGCCCACTAACAGAGCTGTGACACCTCCAGCCAGCTACACTCAGCCAGCTGCCCGCTTCAGCTACCCACTAGAACCCCCTGCACGAGGGAGGGACTAGGACACCAATCGCCTGTATTTTAACGATACAAACAAAAAAGTTACGCGTCGTTATTATCACCACGTACTAAAAAAAAACATTTTTTTTCGGCACGTCGGTGTTGCTGCTTATCGCGATCAATTTCGGGTTACGGGCAGTGGCGGTTTGGTGATCGGGGGCCACTTGGGCCACTGGACCCCACAAGTGTGGAATTAAAGGCACCTCGCTCATGATAACGAGTGTCGTAGCCACTGCACATGAAGCCCTCTCTCTCCCTGATTTCCCCACCGCCACGGGCAGACGTGCCCCGTCCATATATTTACCCGCATGCCCCCACTTGGTGAAAACTATACCACCAATTGTGTCCTCCTCTGAAATCGAGGTGTCTGGATGGGCATATTAAACAATATGCGGGCTCCCTTTAAAAATGAACCAAACATGGCATCGCACAGTGAGTGCATGTGCACATTATTGCTGCTTGCGTGAATAGAGATCCCCATTGTATGTTCCCAACTTTCTGCGTCTGTGGACCAGTGTCATCCGTGGAACATTTAACACCATGCAAAAAAAATGTTGTTTTGCATTGGGGGAAAAAAAGATACACGTGTACTTGAGAGTTCCGTGAACTATTCCCCACGTCCTTGATGTCCCGCCAGTTGTCTGCGGACGACAGATTTGTAACCATCAAGAAGGCCGAATCCGATACAGAGTTTGCTTGCGTGCATCCCTGCTGCTGGATAATATTGATCTCGATATCCAAGCGGCCAATGGCTAAAACACAGTTATTCATATGCGGAGGCACGGCACGGAATGTCTCTTTATTTGTGCCATCGCTCGTCAAAAGGGTGATCGTCAAGTGCGTCTCCCCTGCTGCTGTTGCTGCTGTCCAGGCTGACGGGAGGCAGCTCTTCAACCTTGCCGACTCACTGGAGGAGGGATCCATGCCCAATGAGCTTGCCGCCATCATCATCCGCCTGTGGAAGGACACCGGGGTGCAGGCCAGCTTCGATCGGGCGTCCGAATACCAGCTCAACGATTCTGCCTCTTAGTGAGAACCTCCTCGCGACACGCAGACAGAGCCCCCGTGAACACGGCGGCACGGTAGCGGCACTTAGGCGTGTCATGAGTCGAGCAATAAATCAGGGCCCTCGAGTAGCGTAAAGGGGGACCTGGATTCAGGAAAATGTATACAGAAGTGCATTAAATATCAGCTTAAAGTACGGAGAAACAACTCCCATGACTGGCATGGCATGGGGAGGCCTTAATCCAGCAGTGGATTGACAGTAGTCCAATGCTTTCGAGGCAGAGTTGATGGATCATGCCGTTATAACGTACTCTACAACAACACCGCCAAATCTTCTGGGTGACCAGGTGACCAGGAAGTGGCAGTGCAGCAAGTTGGTTTGTGATCTGTCTGTTTTGTTTTCTCGTGTATGTGTGGGTTTTCTCTGGGCACTCGAGTTTCATTCCGCATGCCAACAATGCTCGTTAAAATATAACGGGGACCTTTATTGGCAGTACTTAGATACTGGAAAAAATATATCCGATGATATAGCTTCTCACCCCGAGCTATACATGCTCTAATACGTGCATCGTCTTTATACTGTCCGTCTTCTGGAGTTCTCTGATCTGACACTGGTGAGACTCGGCCATAAAGAAGGCGGTCTTTGGTGTAGGCCAATCAGTTTCAAAGACAATGCATATATTATTATCAGAGTGTGTTGGTTTGCATGTTCACGAAAAAGTACGTGTGGTTAATGCAGACTTGATTCCTTGCAAGAAGGTTTATATTTGGTGTTTGAACATCCTAACACCTGTTTTACTTCCAGAATGGTTAAAACCTATACTTATTTTTCGTACTCATTAAAATAACTTACCAAACATCCCCCAATGCAAGGAACCTCCAGCAAAACTAGACTCGGCGATGCTTTCCTCAATTGCTGCTGCCGTGTTGTTGTTGCCGTATATCCGTAACGTGCCGCTGCTGGGGAAATGTCTTCTCTATATTCGCTTCCTAATCCCTCCTTTCCCGAGTTGAACGTATGTACGTTGAACTTCTTCCGCACCGCACGTGGCCAACCGCGGCTGCGGTGGAGTGCCCTCCGAACTCTCCGATATTCATCTCGCCGCGTCTTCCGCCCTTCTTCTTCCTCCGCTTCTTCTGCCTCCCCGATGAATCAACGACGTTGGGTTCGAATGTGGGTTGACCCTCCTCTCCCTGTGCGTCAGCTACCTCAATGATCTGGATCGTCTTATGGACCCAGGCTACTTGCCCAACGAGCAAGACGTCCTGCGCTCCCGTGTTAAGACCACCGGCATCATCGAGGACTCCTTCTGCTTCAAAGACCTGCAGTTCAGGTGAAGTCGACTCTCCATTAACAATGGCTGCAATGCTTTGTTTCATGGAGAGCGTCGTCCACAGCACATCTCACAACGACGCTCTCGCAAGACAACAGCAATTATGCAGAATGTGGTGTTTGTATTGTTTCTTAAAGTCGATGGTTTACTTATCGATATGTTTGCAGTCATGTGGGCACGAGAGATGCCACGTGTCCCGGTTTTTTCAGGATCGTTCTCTTCTCGGGGTAGATTTTCAAGATGTTCAAGGAAATCTCTTAGGACATACAAAGTTCCACTATATGTCAGTTATATATGTAGGACTCGTACTGATGCGACAGCTTCTTGTCTTTCTCGTCTCTTTTATTCACACATATAGTTCACATCTCCTCCTCGTCATCACTCCATGCCTCTCCATTCGCTCCAATGCACAACCCACCATCATCATCACTCCATGTCTCTCCGTTCGCTCGCTCCGCTCCGCGACTTCGATCGCTCTCTCTTTCTCTCTCTCCCCCAAGGTCCGTTACTCCGCTGCTACCCTACTCTGTACTCGCCCCGTCCACTGCTACCCTATCTGTATTCTCTCTATCCGCTGCTACCGTACGCTGTACTCTCTCTATCCACTGCTACCCTATCTGTATTCTCTCTGTCCACCCTTATCGTATCTATTCCTGCTCCCTGCTGCTCTGTCCCGGGCACCAACCACTCCAACTCCGACTCCAACACCAACCAAGACTCCCGGCTCTCCGTTAGAGCTGTGCCTTTATACCCGAACCAATCAAGACCCAATTAATTATCTCATCCCCCCGCTTCGCTACTCGCCCCCAGGCCCCCAGCCTCACGTGACCATGTTATCGCCGTCAGCCCGGCGCCAGTCATCAGCCACTCACCCTCCTGACCAATCACCGGCCTGCGTCCTCCGTTACCCTTAACACCTGTGGTGTCTCTTAATGACCACCCCCTCAATGGCACACAACAACTATATCCTCAGTTGCCCCCATTGTATGCTGCTCGCTCCCCTAGCAACAGAACGCGTGGCGCGTGACATTTCAAGTCCTACATATAATAACATTAACCTACTACTCAAGACGATGTATTCAGTTTAACACGCAGCCAATTAGTAAGGGATTTGTCACGTAAACAAAAAGCTAATTAGTAACTACTTCAGCCCACCAGTGTGTTGGAGAGTAAATCTACAACATTTACAATTTGATTACTCAAATTGTAAATGTTGTGGATTTACTCTCCAACTAATTGGCGTTTTGTTTACATGATAAATCCCTTATTAATTGGCTGTGTCGGGTGGTGGAGGGTTACGACATATTTATCCTGACAATGTATTCACACATCAAGTGTCTCGTCTCGCAGTATTGTGAGATATTCCTCTTCCCCTTATATCTCCCAGTTTTGTTTTTAAACCTCGGAGGTGGCAACCCTAGCGTGGTCCGCCAAAGGTATTTGAAAGTCCTGTTCCGCCCCGAGCAAGGTAAAGGATCCACAGACCCCGTCATGTTCCAGCTGCACTCATCCTGGCATACAGGAGGTCGTGGGTTCGATCCCGACCCTGACGCCTGCTACATATTTGGATTGAAGCTTTCGTGACTGCAGGAATCCATACTCATTTGTTCTTTCGGTAAATTCACGTAGGTATACCTACGTGACTTTACTTAAAGAACCAAAGAGTATACATCTTTGGAGTTTACCTGTCCCTCTCCACGTGGTCGCGTTGATTTTTCTCCGGGTCCTCCCTTTCCCCCCCCTTCACGTTTAGAAGCAACATCACGCGTGTTTAGAGTATTTGGCTGCTGCTGCAATTTTGCACCTGATGACGATGACGATAACCCCACTTCGTTGAGCTTATCCATTTGTGATAGCCTGATCGCTTCTGAAAAAGAGATACATCGCAGCTCAGCGGGGCCTTACCTGGTGGGAGAAAACAAAAACAATTCTCTGTGCTCGTGGCGCAGGATGTTCGACGTGGGAGGGCAGCGATCGGAGCGGAAGAAGTGGATCCACTGCTTCGAGGGCGTCACCTGTATCATCTTCTGCGGCGCGCTGAGTGCGTACGACATGGTGCTCGTGGAGGACGACGAAGTGGTGAGGTCCATCGGAGCGCTGGTCCGCGACGCGTCGCCGGCGCCACGTGCCGCACTCGCACCTCCGTTGATTTCACACGTAGCAGGAGGCTTTCGCGGCCATTATTATCCACAATCGAGGTTTTTGGGTTCGATCAGCGTGAATATAAATGTGTTGTGGGTTTACTCTCCAACGCACCGGTGTGCTGAACTAGTAGCGAATTGGCACGTTTTATTTACGTGACAAACCTTACTAATTGGCTGCGTCGGGTGGTGGTGGGTTTGACGACAAATTTATATATTTACGTGATCTAAGCCAACGAGTACCTTACACCATCGTCATCAATGTCGTCATCATCATCCTTCATCCAGCAGCGACACGAAGCCTCTCCACCCAAGCCATTGCCGTATTATCCGCGAAGCCGTTCTCATAAGCCTCACAGTAGGCCAAAAAGCACGGTTAGCTAACGTACGGCGCGTAAATAAAGTTAAGCAACATCCATACGAACGTACATACTGTACGTTGCTGTCCATGCGAGAGCAAACGGAGAGTAGCTGCTGGTGGCACGAAGTCTTTTTCTTCTTCGTAATGAAAGCGCGGGGCACGTTGGTGGCTGTGGCAACAGCTGTGGTCACAATGAAAGCCGACTGTGACGCAATCACCGATCTCGCTGATATTAGCCAATCAAATGAAGGGGGCGGGGCGTGTGTCACATCATTACTCGGGTCATGGATCGATTGGCAATGCGACGCAGCGATTAACTCGCAAATTCTGATTATCTCGGTGGTTTTGATGTTTGTTTATATTTTAATGCCCGTTTTTAAATGAGGAACATTGGATTCTGAACTCCGTTTTTATCTTAAGCTTGATTTAACGAGTGCATACAAAACAGTGCAATTCTTACGTCCGATTGCATATTAATATTGATCACGTGAGTGCGTACAACACAATTTGCGGGCGCTGTGGTCACAATCAAAGCGGACCGCGAGGGAATCACCGATCTCGCTGATATTAGTCACATCATTACTCGGTCCACGGATCGATTGGCAATGCATCGACACAGTGATTAACCAGCAACATTTTAAATGTTTAAATTTCGATTTAAAGCTTTCGTGACTGCAGGGATTCATCTTCTTGGTTCTTTCAGTAAAGTCACGTAGAAGGGAAGTAATAAAATAATAAAAATAAAACATAAACAGGACCCTGCGGAGTGGGCTGGTAGTAACGAATAACCAAAGAATATAAACATAATGTATTATTACACTTGTTTAGCCAGGAAAGCCCCACTGAGTCTCAATGTTTTTGTAGGGTCCTGCCAAGTGTTTGCAGTAGGGGGCGATGTTGCTACACCTAATCGGACGATACGAAGGGAGAGTTTGAGGCCTAGTTCTAGGCTTTAGGCCTAGCTGTAGGCTTTAGGCCGCTGTGAGTTAATTTTTAATTTAAATGTTTTAATTATTTATGTAAAAGCTTTAAATGTAAATGTTTCTATTTAAAAACACCAGGGAATGTAACATTGTTAAACATGAACTCCCTTTCACACACGCGGGGGTACGATACGAAGGGAGAGTTTGAGGCCTAGTTCTAGGCTTTAGGCCTAGCTGTAGGCTTTAGGCCGCTGTGAGTTAATTTTTAATTTAAATGTTTTAATTATTAATGTAAAAGCTTTAAATGTAAATGTTTCTATTTAAAAACATCAGGGAATGTAACATTGTTAAACATTAACTCCCTTTCACACACGCGGGGGTACGATACGAAGGGAGAGTTTGAGGCCTAGTTCTAGGCTTTAGGCCTAGCTGTAGGCTTTAGGCCGCTGTGAGTTAATTTTTAATGTAAATGTTTTAATTAAAAGCTATCTCAAGGAATTATAAGGGAATGTTACACTTGTTTAGCCAGGAAGGCCGCTGTGAGTTAATTTTTAATTTAAATGTTTTAATTAAAAGCTATCTCAGGGAATTATAAGGGAATGTTACACTTGTTAGCCAGGAAAGCGTCACTGAGTCTAAAGGTTTTTGTAAGGTCCTGCCAAGTGTTTGCAGTAGGGGGCGATGTTGCTACACCTAATCGGACATCGGACGGACGGACGATATAATCTATTGTAGGCTGGTTCACTTCGTTCCTACCAGTATAAAACAATTCTCACGACGTTTCGGCCACAACGCAAGCAGCCGTCCTCAGACGCTGTCGCCTGGACAGACCTGGTTTTCACCTGAGGACGGCTGCTTGCGTTGTGGCCGAAACGTCGTGAGAATTGTTTTATTATGTTTTATTTTTATTATTTTATTACTTCCCTTCTACGTGACTTTACCGAAAAAACCAAGAAGATTTTAAATGTTTGTTTATTACGGAGAGACTGAAGCGGAATCGATCACAATCTATCTCGATGAACGCAATACCATATATGGGCAAATCTCTGATCGGTGATTTCGTGGGGGTGTTCAATTGCATCGCTGCTCTATGACATAGCGCCCTCTCGTTTTGTTTGCTCGATAGAACCGCATGCACGAGAGCCTGCACCTGTTCAACAGCATCTGCAACCACAGATACTTCAACGACACCTCCATAGTGCTGTTCCTCAACAAGAAAGACCTCTTCGAGGAGAAGGTGAAGAAGGTCCACCTCAACATTTGTTTTCCAGACTACGAGGGTGAGTGGCGCGTCACGTGGTCTCTTCTCTCTCTTTTCCATCCTCGGCCCATCCTGCCAGATCTTGAGCTTTCTTCTTGCCAGTGCAGCAAAGTACAGCGTTGTATTTCACATCCACGCTCCCCCCGCGTTTACCAGCCTGCACGAACCGGCGTGGGGAAGTATGGTTTAACAACTGCCACGGCAAGAGGGGACCGCTTGTACAGCAGTTAATTGATAAATGGGCCCTACACGTGGCTTAATTTCAGCCGGGTCTGTTGCAGGCCGACAATCCAGAAACTCTTTCCGCAACTGGCACACCACATCCAGTAAACCTCCCGCTATGACTGCAGTTACCAGTCACCTGCTGCCTCCCGGTTTACCAGCAACCTCGAGAATAAGCAGTGAGGATGTAAGCCCCGTCGTCCTTACCACTGGCTGTAGAGTGAAACTCCTGGACATCTGTGAAAGAAGAGCTTTTATAGCTCATTGGATTCCTCCAGTATAAATACATATTTTGAATCTAAGAACACCAATCAGGCAGGGCTCAGAGAAGGGTAAAGGTGCAGCCCTGCAATTGCTCTGTTCATGCCACTATTGGTGTAAGGGCCTCCACGAGTAGGACGCTCTGGAGAGCCCCTCCAAGCAGGTATTTGGGAGCTGGGAGCTCCCACACTTTACCCAACCATAAGCCACCTGCCATTTGACGAACTGAACTTGTAATCTCGAGGTAGCCAGTATACTGCTGGGTGGACAGGGGCACAGGGGGTTGAGAAGGCTTGCCCAGTGATGCAGGAAGTCCAGCGACCTCTGGATTACAAGCCCAGGGTACTCACCAATAATAACGTTTTTATTTTGGGTTAGATTGCGTAAATATGAATGTCATTAAACCCACCACCACCCGATACAGCCAATTCATAACCTTTGTCACGTAAACAAAATGTGACAATTAGTTACTCTTTCAGCACACTGGTGTCTTGGAGGGCAAACCCACACACATTTACAATTTACGAATTGACAAACCTTAGTAACTGGCTATTGGGTGGTGGTGGGTTAACGACACATTACACATTTACGCGATCTAACCCCAAAAAAGCTTTAAGATGTCGCTTTGTATTGCCACTTGCGCAGCAATGGTGATCTGCCTGTGACCATCACCACCACTCATGACATCGGGTTGCCGGAGCTCGCAGTCCCGAGCCAGGACTGATGAACGCTGCCCCTGTGCCCCCATAGGTCCGAACACCTTCGATGACGCAGGAGCCTACATCAAGAACCAGTTCCTGGACCTGAACCTGCGCAAGGAGGCAAAGGAGATCTACTCGCACTTGACGTGCGCCACTGACACCCAGAACGTCAAGTTCGTGTTCGACGCAGTCACCGACATCATCATCAAGAACAACCTCAAAGACTGCGGCCTCTTCTGAGTCGGGCGTCACTTCGCTCGGAAGACGCGGTTCGTTTCAAAACGCTGCGACGACGCGAGGCACAAAATGATGCACGCCAGCGTCGTGTCGGCTCGTTCATGTTAAGCCACATTGAGATGGCGGTATGGGTCATTGTTGATAGCTTAGAGGGATTGCGCAATAGCCAGAGGCTTCCCTTCTTTCGTCTATTTTACGTTGATCCCTTAAAAGTGATTGAGGCTCAAGTGAATATTACTAATTCCTCAAGTACACGTTCATTTGTGTAGTGTACAGACCCTATTCTTCTGCGGTAATTTAAACCATTTAAAGTTATTTTTATGCATACTCATACGGAGAAGCATAAGACAGTTTAATGATTGTGTGCATTTCTAGGCAGATTCTCGTGGACTACTAAAAACAGGAGTGTGGTGATTATAATAACTTAGTGGGGTTTGAGCACAGCTGTGCATTGCAGCGTTTAGTACAGCGGTAATTATAAACGAACTGCTCAATAGTTCAGGCAATTTGACTGTTAATCAGTTCATTTTCTACGAGCAGTAGCAACCAACCTTTATGCAACACGAAGCAGCCTCATGAGTAATGTCCTAGCCACACATTATGGAAAGGAATGGTGTGTGATAGTGTAGCTAATGATAGCCGAGTTAGTTTAACACGTAGGCTTACGCGACCAATAATCCATAAGAGGTCCTTTGGGTTAGATCGCGTAAATATATAAATGTGTCGTTAAAAAAGTAATTAAAAGATAACAAAAAATACCGTACATTGCGGGAGTAACTGATACACTAGTCAGGTGTTTGGAAAAACAAAACATCCGAGTCAGATTTGGCACGGTACATAAAATACAGAAATTAATATCTGGTACAAAAGATGTATTACCGAAGCTATCAACAGAAGGTGTGTACATGATTAAATGCACTTGTGGCAAATGTTATGTTGGGCAAACAGGATGATTGATCAGCACGAGACTAAAGAACATCAGAGAAATATTAAATACTCCCAATACAACTGTCAGCAGTAGCAGAATACGCGTGCCAACAAGGACACTCAATTCATTTTGATAATGTTGAAGTTCTGTGCAAAACTAGCTACTACTGGCCAAGACTAATTAGATAATCTATGGAAATTGAAAGAAATAAAAATACCTTTAACCGTTCGGATAGCTACCTACGTAGTGCTGCGTGGAAGCGAATCATCAAATAATACATTGTTTAAATGCACGCCTATACAGGCCACCACACACAATAGACAGCAAGGACAAGATCAAAGGGCTTGCATAATGCACATGCATAGTGTACGTTGACTCAGTAATCTCCTCCCCCCCTCCACACTGCGCAAGAGCGCAGAAGCGTGGTCACCACATCTACGCCTCTATATAAGGAACGAAACAGGTGGACTTCTCCACAAATCTGTTTGTTGCCTGATGAAGCTAGTTGTAATTACTGACGAAACGTCGTACTCGGATTGTAAATGTTGTGGCTTGGCTCTCCAACACACCGGTGTGCTGTACTAGTGACGAATTGGCACGTTGTTTACGTGACAACCCTTACTAGTTGGCTGTGTTGTGTGGTGGCGGGTTTTAACGACACATTTATATATTAACCCAAAATAACCCAAAATACCTCTATTACGGCTGGGTTCGTCAGCTTAAGCATATTCCCGTAACAATGCTTAAACATCACTGCAAAGCATGGGCGCGTATTTGAGTACGGCATGACCCTCTCGTGCGGGAGAGGTTTAGAGAGTTCGCTGAAGATGGATGTAACGTGAAATGTCCATTAGGCGTAGCACTTACGATAGTGATGCAGTTACATTGGTGAGTTATTGGTGGTAGCTGTAACGACCGATGCAAGACAGTGTGTCCTCACAATAACTGGGCTCCTGCAAGGGGTGGTGGTGACGCAGCATACCCATTCACTTATCGCTATTTCCACGAACACCAATTGCCCTTTCACAGCTTTGTGATGTCGCTTGTATTTGACTTTGATGTTCTAAAAATGCTGTGTAAAAGTTAAGTAGACCCCTAACAACACGGGAAACCAACACAAATCACGAGCCCTCGTTTGTGGAGTATGCACGTTCCCACAATCCGCCGACAGTTGCAGCTCTCAGTGATGCAGTGCAAAGCTGGGGACTGGAACTCGCAACGTGACCGTTTTCTGCGTAGCGTTGAGAAGCAGCTAACAAGTAAGGCATGGATTTGTTAAGCCGTTTAAATTGTTTTACTTCGGAAGCACATATTCCCAATTAATAGCAATCTAGGGCTCTCCTAAAAAAAAAAAAACTCGCTATACACAGGGCATTTCATATCCGCCAAACGTTATTTCGAGGACACACTGTACATAAGATATCGCTATAAAAAAAATGTTAACATAATTTACTTATGTTTAACGGACAGCTGAAAAACCAAATCGCGATTTACCGATGACCCACGACCGATGGGTATAGAGTTTCTTCTTAACGCGGTGCACAACAGCAGCACGCAACAATGTGTGATGCTGTTGTCGCGTCCGAACTGTGTCGTGGATATTTTAAATGATCCAGTGATAAAATAATCACACAGCACGACGCGTGAGTCTGTGGTGCAACTTATCGGAATACTGTGAACCAACTTCAAATGATGTGTGCTGGTTCAAGTTCATTCATTTATTTCAAGTTCATTTATTAGCTATAGCCCTGTGAGCCATTCGGCTCTTGAATGGTGATGTCATGAAGCTAAATACCACAATGCCCCAGACTACTTGTGTCCAATTAGTTAGCCGACTCAAATCGATGGCATTGGCGCGGCTCTCCTGTGTAATTCTACTGTTCTTGGGGTCTGTAAATGGGGATATTTGTGCATGGTGAACATAGAGCGAACATGTGAATGCCATGAACTGTGAACAAGACAACCGTATAACATGAAGTCAGGCATTAATGATTTTAAAACAAACATGAGCATCCTTCCTGTTAGTTTCCGCGTCAAACTCAATCCCACAAGACAAATGGGTAGCACCAGCGGTGGACTTTTGGTAAGTGTTGCGTTTAGATGCGGAAGAGAATAGAATGGACGTAAGCATTAACAACCATTCTATCGACTTTCACAATTATAGATACTCGACTTTATTGTTGTACATTTAAAATGTTAGAGAATTCCCAGGTTCGTCTGTGGAAAAGCAATAAAGCATGTCGCACTAATTATTATTATTATACGACTGTCAAGTCGATAGGAGGCTGTGACATATTTGGTGGAATGGTGAAAGCTGCCACATGAACCTAAAGCGCTGTGGGCTGGACATCCGTTGTATGTATTAATGTTGCTGTATGTTAATAAACAGTAGGAAGGCATCGATAAGCGTGAGTTTTTTCTCTCAAAGAATCACACGTGTGGGAGTTGAATCACTGACTGCAGCGACTGCGTGGTGCGTGTGTGCCGACTGACAGTCACTTCAGCTGCCGATATGTAAATACATGAATGCATCCATGTATCCATCACTGCCCACAGAAAGACCGTGGCACTTTTTCAATACATCTGCCCCCAATGCACAAATGAAAACAAATCTCCGGTGTGCGACTGTGGTCATCCAGAACCAAACGTACAGCATATAACGATTAAATGCCCGATCCACAAATGCAGAGACATCACAACGATACACGCCGCTGCTCCTGATGCAGTTATCTCGCTTGACCACCTGAATACGAAGTTGTCGTTGTTGCTCTGCATCTACATCCACCACATTCATTGACTGGGCACTCATTTTATGTAGCCAGTGGCCCAATTGAAGAGGGCACCCATATGGCTCGTGAAATATTCCTCACGACTATCTGACACGCGGTTTGCTCTACTTCCCACAAGTGCAGAAAAAGAGGGCATAGGTCAGAGGTCGAGTGGTCAGGAGTCAGATACTGCACGACACCTTTTTAGTGCTACAAAGGGCAACTGCCTTAAACGTCACCTATGATATATTTTTCCTTTTAAGCGTTATTGGCGAATGTTTAGATTTTTTTGTTATCTGTGCACCACTGACAACGCAGTATCACCAAATAATTTGGTTATATTATTTGGCTATATATGACAGTTGTACAACCGGTGCGATGTCAAGAGGCAAAAATCATCCTCGAGGATTTTTCCTCATTTCGCAGAACACCGCAGCGCGTTGGAGAACTCCCGCGGCAGAGGACGCAAAACAACTACTTTGAGATTCAGTGCTCTTTTGGAGACAAACATCGCCAGGTAAAACTACGCCTTGCTCCGCTCTTTATCGCTCAGATGGAGTAAACAAATCGAACGTGAACGTGCCTAACATTTACATTTGGAAGCAACTGTTTCTCACGCTTAAGAAAACTGGACCGTATGGTGTCGTGTACGGTGAGTGCAGCAAAAACACACAAGCATTAATTTCAAATGCATCACAGAGATTTACAAAAGTATACTAAATAATGGGGACCTCATTTGCCAGTAAAAATATGATAATTGGTTTTTTACCTTTCTATCTGGCAACAAAACTGACACCTTTTTGCAAGGAGTCATGTTTGCATAGACCGCAATACCTGCAGTCATAATAGAAACAACAGAACATAACTCTGATAATGTGCACTGTCCTTGAAGTTGATTGGTCCACACCCGAGACAGCTTTCCTTCGAGCCTAGTCTCATATGGGTTGGACCAGATGACGCCAAAAGGCGCACAACTCAAGGACAATGCACCATCAGAGTATGAGAGCTCGGGGCAAGCATCTACACTATGGGGACCTCATTTGCCAGTAAAAATATGATAATTGGTTTTTTACCCTTCTAATGGGTTTAACCCTTCATGTTGCCAGATAGAAGGGTAAAAAACCAATTATACTAAATAAGTCGGGAGTATTTCAATTGCACTTCATGTACGCACGCGTGACAATCGCTAAGTATGTTTAATCAAGAATGGGACCTCTATGAATACAGCATTCCAGCTTCAGACGACTGCAGGATGCTAAGCCAACACAGCTGGGATTAATGCATAATCCAGACAATCCTCGCGATTCACCTGCAATCCACTTAGTGTATCGAGCAAGCAGATAACGCGGCTCTTATCCAAATTGAAGTTCAACACAACAAAAGCCGGCGCGTGACAGTATCAGGGGAAAGAAAACATTTCTTGGCTGCTTGCAATCCGAATGCAACCCACGTCTTTCCTGGTAATGGAATTACTGTAGTTAGAAATAAATATATTGTAGCTAGGGCAAAGTAGGACAGATGTCCATTTATACATTAGTTGGATGCTCTAAATGTGCCACCACCTATCAGAACGTGGCCATTAGGATTAAGGTTCCGTGACCCGATGCCGGGTCAAGTGGCTTGCCATCAGAAGGTTGCGAGTTGAAATTCTGGCTGGTGGTTGACTCGGCCCATAATCCCTCCAGGGTCTAAACAAATCATACCACGCTGTGGGGAAGTGGTTGTCTTATCGACTTGCCCCCATATCATAGGAATGTGGGATTTTTTCACCGATAACTCAGTCAGGGCTGCAAACAAATGAGTGCCACCTCATTGCCCATTCAAGCAGGAAATCACTTTAACTTGATCCAATATACAAGAGTACTGCATTGTGAATGTAGGAATGACATTCATGGCATCACTCGGGGTGGTTATTTATGAATATAACACATAATTGTTACACGGTATGTTTTCACATACACAATTGTATTATCCATTTTAAGAAATCAGTACTTTAGTTATGTCACCTACGGCCTAATTCTTGCTTCAGAGAATGAAGAGACAGGGAAGTAAATGACAAATGGAATACATATGGGACCTTTTTGACAGTATAAAAGTATGAAAATTTTAAATAGGTTTAACCCTTCATGGCGATAAAACAGGTGTTAATATGTTCAAACACCAAATAGATAAAATTTTCAAGGAACCAAGTCTACATTAACCACACGTACTTATGGTGAACATTCAAACAAACATGTTCTGATAAGATATGCATTGTCTTTGAAACTGATTGGCCTACACCAGAAACAGCCTTCTAGCCTTCTAGGCCATAAAGAAAGCTGTCTCTGGTATAGGCCAATCAGTTTCAAAGACAATGGATATATTATTAGAGCATGTTTGTTCGGAAAACATATCGTGAATGTGACTAATACATTTATGGATTTACCGGGAATTGAAATTTACATGAATAGAATTCTATTTTCATGAAAACCAGGGATCTTGAATGTTTAACTTAATAATTTAATATTTATTCCATTTGTTTTCCAAACACAATTAAATCTATTTCACAAAACCTAATATTGTTACGATTGACAAACGTTCACATTAGTTAAAAGGCAAAATATATAATAGGTGACTTTTGGCTAAATGTAATTCTTCATAACACATCACTGAAGGGGGACTGCTCGAAACAACACCTATTGTATATTTTTCCATTTAAGGCCAGAGTGTAATTGACGAATTTGTTGAGTTTTTGTTGTTGTTAAACTGTGCACCGAATGTTACGAATGGCACGATCTAAAACGACGACTCAGGTTTGTGATCTACGGTCTCGGAATCCAAGTGGTGTGCAAGCGATCAAAGTGGACATCTGCGTCATTCCGAAAGTGACACTCCCAACAGTCGAAGAAATCTATTTTTCTCAGTCAGTTTATTTATTTTATTTATCTCAGGGTGCAAACCTGAGATTCAACGACTCATCCGGAGCCTGGCTCGAAAGAGCATACCATCACACTAAGGAGTCCACACTCGCTTACATTTTCAGGATGTTACACACAAGTCAAACATGAAATAATTAAACATTATATATATACATACAATTGTGCACAACTAAATCTACTCAACAGTGAGCCAAGGACATATACCATCTGAAGTTATTTTTCCGTGCTGATTTGTCAAAACTTTTTAAGTCTCTCCATGATATATGCACAACATTGGCATCCGTTAAAGCGATGGAGAGATGACATCAGCTCACTTGCAGGTGCTGGTGGATTGTTACATCACACACTAGAGGCCTGTATCCAGCAGTCGATGGATACTTGTTGATGAATGTAACATTAAGGCTAGCGGAGCAAAAAAACATTCACAATAAACACAAGCAATACAGCAACCCCCCCCCCGCCAACCGCGGACTTGCCAACAGCGGGTTCACGTATATACGGCGAGGGATTTCTGCATAAGGTTTGGTAACATTACACTTGGCATGGCTTGCAAGGAGTCGCCCACCTTGGGGAGGGGCAGGATGTGGGGGAATCTGGAATTTTTAAAAGGAACCCGATTAATCGATCACAACTTACGACTTTTTAGTCGAATAATAAGCTTAATTGACACATGGGTTTGGCACGCCTCGCTTTCATGGCGTATTTGAAAGGCGGGGGTTGGTCGGCGCGAATCATTACATGCTTATGAACCTGTTCCCGTTCCGAGAGGTCTGCAGGTTGCAGGGTGGGGGGTGTGCAGTTCACTGCTGAATCTCGGAACGCTTATGCGGTTCCACGTTAATATTAGAGAGGTGTAGCAACGTTGTTTTTAAAGACATTGTAGTCACCGCAGCGACATGACCGCAACTCTATGATAGCTGGCGCCAAATTATGCAAAACACCCCTCCCCGCATAGCCTTGTGGGTACCCTGGTACCAATAAAAGTTATTTTAATTTTTCTTCCGGTTTAGTTTTGATAATGTACGTCATCGGAACGGGTTAAATGACTCAAAGGCGATCTGCTCCCTTTGTTGTGACCAAGGACTCACTGCTGAGCGCACTCGTTCTCGACGGAAGGCTGCGACGAGATGTGAATCACGGAATGGGCGCTCTTTTTCTTCTCCCCTGGCGCCTTTCGCTTGATGTCCCAGCAGTTCTCCAGCGAGCTCGAGTCGACCGCTCCAAAGCCGCTCCTAAGCACACCCGGGTTCCAGCGACAAGAATTTACAATTCTAGTACTGTGGCTTCGTGCAGAACAAATCAACGAAACCGTGAACACGACAGAAAAGAAGCATCAACCGACCTGACTGGCGAGGAGCGACCGGGCATAACGTCCGCATTCCGGTCTGCCAGCGGACTGCACTTGTCTTCCAGCTTTATTTTTTTGACGGGCTCGGGCAGGTCTCGCTCCGACAACGTGTCGCCCTTCGGCCGCGCCTGGGACGACCCCGCCGATACCATCTCGCCGTTGTCGTCGTCGTCGCAAGCGCCACCAGCGGCACGGGCTGCGGCAGGCGGAGGCTGGAGCTCGGAGGAAGCGCCGCTCGACCCTTCTGCCCCCGGGGCTCGTTGCTCGGACGTGCTTGGGGTGCGAGTTTCGGAGGCCGGGCTGCTCTCTCGGACGCCGGTCACCGCCAGGTCGTTCCGGAGCAGTTCCGCCATCGAGT